ATGATTAATTGCAAGCCGCGTCAATTCCTCGCATACTGTTTTACCGTGAAACGGAATAATGAATGCGTTGCCGCTAGTCGCAATTCTATTCCGTCTGCTACTACAACGTTTCCAAACTGGAAGCATTTTATTAAAAGTTGACACATTACAATTCTTGATAGACATTCAAATATAATAATAAAACAAGAATTTACTTCAGTCAAATGCAATGTCTTCTCTACGAGTCAGTGGAATTGAAGTTAAATTATTCTCAGGCTATACAAATTGGAATAACGTAGTTTTAGTGCCCGAGGCCACTTCACAAATGCTTGTATTGAGTTGGTACAGTTGGACAGAAAAGGAAAAAAACTACGCATTGTTATCGCTATGAATGCCATCCCAACCCTTAGAAGCATCGCTACTGCTCACTTGTCGTCTTACGACAGTGACGGCTGTGCAAGCAAAGCATTACGATTGTGGCGTCTGCGGGCTCGAAGGCCGGTTCACTCGTACGGAGGCAGCACTGGTAGGAAATAATTGCACGATATCTATATTTGGCCTAACATTTAATTGTCCAAACCCTCTATAACTACATCTGCGTACACATCTTCCACGCGGTAGTACTCCGCGCTATTGCAAATCATTTGATTCCATTTGGCTTGGCAATTGGAATTGGATGACCTCCTCCTCAGGCCTTACTCTCCATTTAATTCCATTGCATCACCTTCTCAACGCATGACCAGCATACGAACCTTCGAACCTGTTGACGCCTCTGAAATGGAAGGTATCGTACCAGCTCTGCTAGAGGTTTTAGCAACAAACAAACAAAGCAGTACCATTGTGGTCGCCTGTATGAGGATAATTTGAATTTTCAGTTTTCTCTTAAACATTGCTACCCTAAGAGTCCACACAAATTGGCAACCTGCAGACCCATTTGAAGGCGTAGGTGACAAAACAGCGAGGCACAATCGGTCCACTGCAAACGTTCTGTCTGATTTGGGACGAAAAGGCCTGGTCTCACATGGGAACCTTACGTATCCCACCTCGAAGTCATGCCCTTCTTATCAAGAATTATCTAAGAAGTTCGTTATTTGATAAGCTTGGACGGTTTATAGAATCGCCTCAGTCATCCTGCAGCTGATGAAGTCTTCATTCCGTGGCTTAGTTAGAAGTCTACCGGTTCACCGTCATTCGCTGTTCTGTTTTGCACTAAACCTTTTTAACCTAATTGCCTCTCTGACTGCACTGCCACGACCTCCAAGGCTTGTCGACAGCCTTAATCCCTATGTCACACCTCTTCTACCTCCCTATCTTGACTTCCTTGAGGAATTTGGGCACTACACATGATCTTGCTGACAAAATAATGGGTATTTCTAGAACCCATTCGACATCTGTGGTGTGAATAAAACCCATACACTCGGGAATGAGATGATCTACATTCTTCAAGACATACGGGTCGACAATGATGTCTGAGTTTACTTCACTTTGTCCCTTCGTTAAACCGACAAGTTGCAAACACTTTAAGTTGCACAGCTGTGAACCGAACCATCTGAAAGAGCTTCATAACAGAATTCTCCCTGCTACATCCACGCATAGATGTCGGGAATGAGACTATCCTTGATCTCCTTGCACACGGGCCTGCATTTGATCTCATCTTTCCTGTTAAATATCTGTTGTTCACCAGAGTGCCAACGCTTAGTCTCGAATGCTACTGATGGTCACCAGCAAATCCTCATTTATGGTTCCACCTCCCAGACCAAACGTAACCTCACATTCGCTTGAAGCTGCTAAGACGGTCAAGTACAGTATCTCAGTCTCATGGCAGTTGATGATTGACATGATCGACTTATAGGGATTTCCTTGTAGCAAGGGAGGTGTACCGCGGGGTGGTGCAACACTTTGTTTGTGCGGTCACCTGATGTCTGATGGCTAGTTTGGTAGGCGTCCTGTCCCTGTACTTGTGAGATGGCCATTGGGCTAAGCCAAGGTTTAGTTCCTTCTTATCCTCCTAGATTGCAGCCCAACTTGGTGCCTTCTTCTACCTAGTGGAAAGTCTCAGAACGTTAAATCTTTACTTTACAAGTTTTCCTATTGTCCTCACATACAGATGCTAGCATTAGTATTACGCTAAGCTGTTTACACCGATGTTCGAAAGTCTAACCCTGGACATGATTGATGGTAAGCGGGAAATTTTTCGCCTCTACTCATGCTTGTGTGCATGACACTAAGAGGAATAGGTGGCAATGAGTTCGAGAATCTCTCCTCTGTCACTCTGTGGTGGAGTACCGAAACATTAGGCTCGCGAGTTACAATGTTGTGGCTGGCATGGGAGATTCGTTGAAGGGAACGTCAGGACGTGACTTCAACACAGAATGGAGCTGCTGTAATGCCATGTTTCTTTATGTGTCCGTACTAAGTAAACTAGGCTTCAAGATCTGTCAGTAGCGCCATCCCTTTGCTTTGCTTTTTCTCAGAATACACTAAATACGAGAAATTTAAATACATCAAGTAAGTCAAAGGAGAGCTTTGAGATGACCGACCCAATTACGGGAAACGTATAAGCATCGCTCTCACCTTCCCCTATACTTGCCTCCTGTACTTTTTGTTGCTATGCCAACAAAAATAAGCCTGAAATAGATTGATTCTTGAGAAGCCCCTTTAGTGGAAGCATAGGTTACAGCGGCAGTAAAAGTGCACCAATTTCGCTATAATAAGTACAATGTGTGACGATAAGGGAAAACTGTTTATTTGACAATCTGTACGGCTGGCAGACACTTAGGCATTTATTTTGCCCTTGCATGGGCGGGCTGGCCTTTAAGCCAAGCCAAAGCCTGATCTCTCCTCTTTCCCTTCAAAATACACGTACTCATCCCCACTTAGTGCCTTCTTCTATCAAATGGGAAGCCTCGAGACTTTATGCTGGTGGCAACGGAAGACCAATTCCACTATGTTACGAACCTGGTATGAGTATTCATGATGTGTGACAAGCTTCTACGATGGGAATGAAGCGCATACCTCGGGTGGGAGAATTCCTCACGCCTCTACAGCTTGAGAGCCAAGAATGGTGCCTGTATTTGGCACCCGCACCACGTCCGTGTCCCACTGACAGACTATTAACATGTGAGGCTACGCCATCGTGAAAAATTAAAAAGTGCATAGATTGGAAGTATCCTATCCTATACGCGTATAAATGTCGATCATAATGTTACATCAAGTTGCTTTCCATTTGAGCCTGAGTTCGATTCTGCTTTCCGCATAAAGCATTTGTTTTGGAGCAATGTTATACTGTTCCTTTCCGAAAGTGAATGGTGAGTAACAGAAATATTGTGCCTGATTCCTGCTTTCAGATAGAATGCAGATCCAAATCCTGTCGAACTGCTAAGAAAGCTAGGTATAATCGCTCCATTTTGTTGACATTATTAGTGGCGAGGCTAGCTTGTAAACGCATCATTGCAGTACCGAATACGGCGTGATAATTAAAGTAGGAGATACTGATGCCCAAAACATCAGTGCTGTAATGCCTTGCGTAGAGGACACTGATTTTTATTTTTCCAGTGTACGCGTTTTGATTTTCGGGCCAAGTTAAACCCTCATCTTTTCGATTCATAATCATCTCTTACGCGATAGAAAGTCTCGCCACGTCACACCAATGGCCTATAGGAGGTATTGTAGCCTTAATTTTTTATCATGAGCGCATAATCCACAAAGCTAAAATCTGATACTTTTTAGACTTCAACAAAATTAAACTGCAATGTCAGAACAGGGTTTCATAATTAAGTTCTATGCAAGCAAAATGTACTAGTAAGGAACAAATATATTCAACTACTTGTCATGTTAAACTAAAAAGGATAATCCAACCATTTGAGGCGTGACGTGAGTAAATCAACCAATGATTTCTGCCAATTAGCCTACCGGATGGGGGCTGTTTACACTGCTGGGCCAAATAGAGCCCTTGTCATTTCCGGTAAAGTGATCATTGCTACGTTGTTCCAACAAACTCATTTTACCTACCACCCAATAATGTGACATGTTTATCATTGGCGGCTACTTGATCTATTGCATGGGCTTTGTATTTGTATTCTTTTTAGGCCTTTGACTACTAATTGTCTCCTTCTCTCGTTGTGCGGTAAACAAGTTTGAAGTGCATCCGCTTTTTTCCTCTTTTGACATGTAATGTGCTTAGACATCTGCTACCAGTGTTTTTGCCTGCTAAGTTATCGTAGATGTTTGGCTAACCATACCAGCAATACAAAGATCTGCTACTTCAGATTGGTCACTTTGTTGTCTAAACAGTCTGTTAATACTGAAAATTTTGAATTCCGGTTAGGTGGATGCTTGGGCGGTCGCCGAGTCCGCACTATTATTGGTGGATGGGGGTGGGCTTGGTGTTGTTTAAGCAACGTTCAAACGTAAGTGATTTTCCCTTTAAAATTATGCCTATTAGGATCTCTCTCGAAGTAATGACTCTGAATCCTACTTGTAAGCATGTGGAGACCATAGAAGGAGTCCCTCTTACTGTAACTGGTAAGCTGCCTTTGCGAAAACGCGGCACGATGTAGGCGTTGCCCAAGTCAAGGTTCTCTCAGATGAACAAATTTTGACCCTGGCCTGCGAACAGTTCCTGGATTTGGATCCTTATCGGGTAGAGAATACGATCTTACAGACATTAGAGGGTCATCTTCGTGCGATCCTTGGCACTCTCACGGTCGAGGCCATCTACAAAGTTAGTTTTGAAAATCAGCTCTGGTTCAGCTTGCTCTCGACTTATTCACTCTTGTCCATTTAGGATCGAGATCAATTTGCCTCCTTAGTGAGGGAGGTGGCTGCTCCTGATGTTGGCAGGATGGGCATTGAAATCCTGAGTTTTACCATAAAAGACGTTTTTGATGATGTTGACTATCTTAACTCGCTTGGTCGCCCGCAAATTGCAAAGATCAAACGCGACGCAAATGTGGGTGTCGCTGAGGCCGAACGAGATGCCGGAATTGTTGTAAGCAGATGTTTCATGGTCGACTAATTAATATCACCTACTGTAAACTCATTCGTTAATGATGCGCTATTTTTTTAACCTATTATTCCCAAATCCTGATGAACTGCAGTTTGTATAGCCTGAAACCGGTTGTTCATTCAGTTTCGTCATGTTTCTGTTTGTCAGTAAGTTTATTGCTATCGACTTTCGCGGTCCAAATAGTTTGGTGTTTTGACAAGGTCCACCTTTACTTAAAAATGAAAGAAACATTTGTCTGTTAATCTCCTCTATTTCGTTTTTATTTTTTGTCTTCAATTCACAATTAGTTTACTTTGATTGAAACACTGAAAGTTGCGTGTGATCAGTACTGATTTATCCGAGTCACGTACCCTTGGGGTTTAACGTCATGAGACAAAATGAAATCGACTGATCCGTGTTCTACTGGCGGAATTTGATGTAATTAAGTACTACGCCATTTATTTCCTTTTGCGAACCCAAATCATATGATCGCGAGCCGCTAATGTATGGAATTTACTGATGCCCCTCTTACTCATTGAATGGCGATTGAATCTTCTGTATTGACATTTTTTGCTTCTGTCTTGCCGCTCTCATGTTTCTGGAAAATGAGGCGAGAAATAAGATGATCTTTGTATAGATGCATGAGTAAATTTTGAGTCGATGGTACGTTTTCACAGCTCAAGTTTATGATTCCTGCTTGTTAGGATGGTGCATTCCAGGGGTTTTGTTGGTCTTTGCGGCTGTTCTTGTCCCATATCTATCCAGCTGGTAACCCATCAGTAATTTTTTAATTTTACTGTGGTTGCTATAGACATTTCTTTCCTATTTTTCAATTTGGATTTCTCCATCCTCGTAACCCCTTCGTCAATTGTCACTGTTGTTGAGTGTTCTATTTTCGAATAAAAGGCTCTGAAGTGTGAAGGACCAGTGCCTCACTAATCTGAAGACGGAAATAGTTTTTGATTAACGTCGTTCTGATGCACGAATTCCATTAATTAATTTTTCTGCCCTTTTACGACCCATTAAAGCTCATTTGTCGGACTTTGACAAAGCACTTATCAAAATACCGCGCTCCCATGCCAGCTCGATCCCCTACGGAAGAGTTGTTACTAATTTGCCATCTAAACTTTTTTCACACGCTTCCCATTTAACAAATGGGGTTTTCGCCTTCTTCATACCACATCTTTTGTTTATTACAGAAGACTTTGAGTTGATGTGGAAATTTGCTTTCACAGGAAGCAGAATGTGAAAAAGCACGTATGGAGGTGCGATGCAAGATGGATGCAGCTATCGCCGAACATCAAAGAGAATTTGAACTGCAAAAGGCTGGCTTTGATGTGGAAATCAATCAGGCCCGTGCCGAAGCCGATTTGGCAGAGGAAATTCAGGTGAGCGACCATTTCCATTATCTGATTGGCCTCCATAGGCGTCGTCGCAATACAGAAAATTACCTTGCCACATCCTCACCCTAGGACTAGAAAGTTGTTAGGTCTATGGCGAAAGTGAAGTCGCATTTCATCGTCTTGGAGCCTGTCTCGTAGAATGCTTTTAAAACGAGTGTGGATTTTGCGGTGAGAAGGGGTAAAGTGATCGCTGACATGCTCATGTGCCGTGCTTTCTGTTAAATTTTGACAGCTTGTCACCCAAAGTTGTGCCCCAAACTTGTGCTCATTCAGTTTGCGTGCCAACCAAGCTGATCAAAGTTTGTACAGACATTTGTGGATGATGAAGGTGGTTTTAATTGTCTAAACTCTATCAAAAGTGCTTTCTCATTCCCACGCCTTTTAAATGTCTTCCTTTCTCCGAATAAAAGAATTAATTTATCTCACTGTGAATCGGAGTCTGTATTTTCTGGGTTATCTTTTTCTATGGCACTTTCTAAAACCTTTGGCGGTGTAAAGAACGAGGGTGTGACACTATTTGTAAATGTGAATGTGAAAGGGTTTTATCAAGATTGAAGTTGATTGGGAGTTGGAGTCATCAAAGTATCATCGGTCGCTTAGACCAACCCTTGCTAATCACCAGCAAGCCTTTATTTTGTACTGACACCGGATGTGGGCATTAATTCTGCCAACTTGTAGATTTTCAATCCAAACTGCAATTCCTTCTTCCTACTTAAATTGTTTTCCACACATTCAATGAGAAGTGGGGAGTTTTGAGAGCACTGCTTAACTTTAGTCTCTTTTTTTCCAGTCCGCAAAGGAAAGGCAGTTGATTAGAGACGAGGAGTTAAAGGTGGAGATAGTGGAGAAGACCAAAAGGATTGAGATTGAGGAGCAGGAGGTCAAACGAGTCGCCAAGGTCCTTGAAGCTACTGTTCACGAACCTGCAATGGCCGATGTCTTCCGTATCAACCAAACTGTTGAGGCCGAAAAGTATGTCCTCCCTTTCTACCCATGGAAGTGCTCAATGCATACAAAATGTCCACAATTTCAACTGATACTTCTATGCGCTTTTTGTTGCCTCGAAAACGACTGTGGAATAATTGTACTTCCTTTGTGTAATGTAGTCATAGGTTGCACGTTCTTGAATTCCACACGCAGAAGTGCTTGACAGGGGATTTTGAGTTGCAAGATAGCGCACTCTAATCTGTCGCAATTGTTTGGCTACTTGGAAAATATTTGATCGCCTTGTAATGCTGTGCTGTGTTTTAACCCTCTTCCTTTGGATGGCCTTTCGCAAGTCCTCATTTCTTTGCTTCCATTCACCACGTGCTGTTTCATGTGCTTCCGTGCACTGATATTGTTTGATTTTTGTAATTGTGAATGTCCATATGGTGCCATTTACTGCCATTTACTTGCTTTCTTCTCCGTTACAGGCATAAGAAAATGCTCCTGTCACTGGCCTCCGCCGAGAGAGTGCGCAGCATCGGCCTAGCCCAGGCTGAGGTGACACAGGCCAAAGGCGCTGCTGAGGCAGAAGGACTGGAGGCACGATCTACGGCTTTTGCCAGCTTCACCGAGGCAGCGAAGCTGCGCCTGATGCTGGATGCGTTGCCCGCTTTGGCGGCGGAAGTGTGCGCACCTCTAGCCAAGGCCGCGGAAATCGTGCTGATCGGCGAGAGCTCTAGGCCCGAGGGCGCACAATCAACCCCGGTTGCCACGTTAAGCGATATCGGTCGTGATTTTGTGCGCATGTCTGCCACCGTACCGCCGAGTGTGAGGGCAATCACTGGTGTAGATCTCACCAAGGTAGTCCAAACGCCCAAACTTTTCACTACCTTAACCCATTAGGTACCAACTTCACCAACCATAGCAATTTTAAGCCCAGACACTTCATACCTCTCACATTCCTCCCCTTTGTGGCACTTTGCTGTCCACCGTGCCTGACATCCAACCCTTAAAATTTATTCCTCTCTATTTCTCCCTCGTTTCAGATCATTGGCCAAATCCCGGGTGCGTCTGTGACATCATGAACAGTAGCCCATTTGTTCTATACTTACTGCTTGATTGTTTTATTCTGTGTATATGTGAGTCTTAACAAGGCAATCAACCACTTTTAGCTGTTGCATTTTAACCAAAACGCTACAATCTGGGAGAGTACCTCATGCTCTTAAAAATCCGAAAGTTTATCGCTACGTCATTCACAATGCTGCCTGCCACCGGTTCGTTCTCGCAATGAACGTGGCCAGAGGTGATGCTAATTCTCCAGACCAGGTATTTCCATTATTCGCTGGAACAGACAGCATTTATGCTTTAACGTTATTTAAATTGCAGACATCGGTCTGGTCACAATGCCACAAAAGAAGTCTGTAAATGAAAATGAACGTATGAGAGGGAAGAGAGGCTAGATTGGGAATCTTCAGGTCTTTGTGACAAGGAGAGTTGAGTTGAGTAAGTTGGCACTAGCCAGCGTGGCCGAGTTGTCTTTGAGCTCACCCCGAGGGAATGCGGTATGCAGACCGAACCGGTGGGAGGCTAACTCGGGCCTTTGACTGAAAGGCAAACAATGGGGAACCTAGTTTGGTACACTAGAAAAGCTACATACAACGGTCCAAGCATAGATAAACCGACCAGTTCTACGACAGTACAAAGAAGTGAGACATTCTTGGAGTGAGGGTGGTCACAAAAACTTCAAATATCATAGTCGTGATCGCAATTCCTGCAAGACTGTCAGCTACTATGCTACGGCAGTTAGGCTCACTTAGTGATCCGATTGATGTTGGTACGTGTCTGCCAAACAGGACGTATTGTCATAAACAATGGATGAGTGACAGCTTTACATGAAGCACCGTATTTGAAGATGAGAAATTGGAAACCAAGGAAGGTCAAAAATGAGGTCATAGTTACGAATGTGCTCACCTGATTATCGCGGCACGGAGGTCCTGCACTGTATGCTGGTGATTAAGTTTAACAACCAACCTAAAAATTAGATTTTGAGATCAAAATGCTATTCACAGGGAAGATCAGCCCGGATAGCTTCATATATAAAAGCATATTGACGTAAAAATACCTAGAACCATCAGGCAATCGAATTTGCAACTGTGTGGTCGGTTTCGATTGATCGACTTCTGGACAAGGAAGAGGAGATGATGAAACAGAGGCAGCGCCAGTTTCGGCAGGAAGTTCATTGGTGACCACCTTTGGGGTAGGATGACCTAACAACCGCCCTACACCAGAGAAAGCCTTTACTTTTGGAGGCGGAGGCTGCTGATAGGGCTCGTTATGGTGGTCTTCCAGGAGGACGTGGACCTCGCGGTTTCGTGACGACGAAACCAATTCCTGTGATGACGACATTAAGTCATCAACTCAAAACATCTGAAAAAAGTCTCACAAACACACGTACAGGAGGAATGCTTCCTTGCTTGACAGCAGCCATGAATTCAAGGGAGTCAGGATCAGTGTAGGACCGGAGAGGTCCATCATCGAGACTGAAACCATTATTCCACATTTTCACAACTACGGATTGAGCCCCGCCCGGACCCTCCTCACCGTCGTGCCCATGAGAAGAAATTCCAATGCTTCTCGAATTTGACTGTTTTCCAGGAACCTTCACAAGAGGGTCTGAAAGAGACTCACCAAGGCTGAAAACAAATACAAGAAACGTTTAATCGCTGCAAAAAGTTAAAGAGAGTGCAGCTTAGACATGCTTACCGATACCCAGTGCCGGCAAAGGCTTCCTGGTGGCTAGTAGAGTCGAAATCGGTATCACAGACACGAGTATGATCTAGAGTTTCCGCACCACCTTCACGAGCTGCACGGAAAATGCCTTGGACAAAAGACTCCGGATTATCCAACCGTGGAGGTCCAAGAACCTGACCATGGAAATTCTCAAACATTAAACAAGTTGAAGAATAAAAAGCCAGTGCGCATCAGGTCACACGGCAAAGAACATGCGAGTCATGCAAGAAAAGTAAATAAAATCACACCTGCTGACCACCACCTCCATGCTCCGCACCACCAACATAAAAAGCTTGTCCCTGTTCATCATCCGATCCATGATCTCTAATAAATGTAGTAGAGTTCAGGGTTAATCAGCTAGGTTAGAGACAACTAATTCAAGCATTTTTTGAACGCAAAATAAATTTACATCGAAAGTTACCTATAAAGCAAGGCAATACAAAACAAGGTAAACGAGATGCATGAGGAATAGAATTAAAAGTATCAAATGCCATTTAGAGCTGTCAGGGAAAAAAACCTGCGATTATCAAGAGTGGAGAGGGTAGCTATCTTTGGTCCCGAATCACTTCGAATTAAGTGAGATGAAGCAGAAGGTGCAACTTTCGGCTGTTCTTCTCTAAACGAATTGCTACCGGACACAACCTCTTCATGTAGTGGAAATTCACCCGCCGTAGAACCATCATCAGCAGCGCTCAGAAGACTTTCAACGGCATCCTACAGACGCAATTGCAATCAACTCATTACAGCTAACATAAGATAGCCATAACGATAACAACCCTTACAAAAAGATATGCCAAATCAAATAAAGTATTGAAACCTATTATTCCAGCAAGCCACAATGAGAAAAATCACTAGTTAAGTTAAGCAAAGTTGAAAAACGTACATTAAGATTCCAGTTAAACAGCTGTAAGTAAAACTTCGCAGTGGTCTCATCAGTCTGACAAAGGTCAACGACTTGTTTGATGAGATCACTCTGATCACCCTGATTCATGGCTATGAAACGGTATTATCCACCCACTTGAAAGTGATATCCAGTTTGCAACTATATAAACAAAATTTAATATTAAAATACACAAAAGCTAAAGTTTAGTAATAATAAGCCGTCATTTATTTTGTTTTTCTGCCTATTCTTAGTAACATTCATTCCTAAACTGGTGTGACGGTTAAGGCATCTTAATTAAAAATCCAAGGCTAACCACATCTGCTTCTACATTCCATAAAGTTCAATCTGTTCCATTTTATAAGGGCAAAAAAATCAGTGGAACCAAGCGTAATTTTTATAGAGCTCGCATACTTTGGAAAAAGCATAAGTGATGCTGAATTAATGTATTTTGAAGACGACAGCGCAAATGGGACCTGGGCGTGACCCGAACACCAGCCCACGTGTACAGGGGTCACAACTTCTAAAGTGACTACTAAACGTCAGGCAGTCACATAAGCAATGCATTACACTGCCACCCTCCCCCTTTCGTACATCTCCCCCACCAACCATTACAACATATTCAGTAACATATGAAAGCACCCACGAGCCAACCACGCCAGTCGACAAATATCATTTGACTGACGAACCATGTCTGGTATTCTCGACAGCTTCAACTGAATTCGGAGCTACGTTCGGTCTGGCAACCAGATTCGGGGGCGCATGCACCTATTGACCACCAATTGCTTACAGGAGTAGACGGTGTAATCCTGGCCTAAATCATATATGTTTCAGAGAAAACGGGGTGAGACACTCTCCCGTATGTAAAGAGAACCGTGGTCTCATTTCTGACACCTAAACAGGGATTTTTATGGGGAATTCCGACACGAATCTTTTCCAGATAGTTCACAGCGGTGTCGCTTCAGTTATTGATAACTCGTCTGTGGGACACGGAATATGGTGGCACCTGTAGCGTCCCGAGGCTTCCAAATGGGGTAGTAGAAGGCATAAGTGAGGTTGAATACATGTATTCCGGAAGCAATAGGAGAAATGGGCCTGAGCGTAACCCGAAGGCCAGCCCACGTGCACAGGGCCCAGACAAGTCCTAAAGTGCTCGCCAAACGTCAGATAGTCGCATAAACAAAGCATTACACTGCCCCTCTCTTCTTTTGAGCGACGTCCTCGGCGCTCCCCTTTAATACACCTCATGCTCCAGCTTCACAACATATTCGGTGCTACAAGAAAGCATCCACGAGCCAACCGTGCCAGTCGACAGACAAGGCGAGAGTGAGGAACCGTACCTGATCTTCTCGGCAGCTTCAACTGGGTCTGGAGTTTCGTTCGGTCTGAC